GTTAGTAGTGTATTTAGCTTGTTTACATGTTCGATGTCATAATCAGGGGCTCTGTAACATAGTAAGAACCGAAATGTGATATTTAAGGACAGTTCACAGGTGATGGTTTCAGGAATAGCAAGCTCCTGGGTAACTTGGATGTTTTTTAGATGTAGGGACTTTTTATAGAAGATAGCAACACCACCTCCTCTACGGATTTCACAATCTGATAGGTAAACATGATAGTCTCTTACTGTGGTAATGGAGTCAGGGAGAGATGCGTTGAGCCATGTTTCACAGACAAATATAATGTTGAATTTAGCCGTATTTAGTAAGAGCAGAAATTCAGGTATTTTATTTACAAGGCTTCTTGCATTGAGTAGCTTGCATCTCCTCTGTGTGTTTGGGGGGGGGGGTTATCCCCCTCTTCTTCTCCCTTCCTCCAATTTCTGTTTTTTCTTGGAAACAAAGAAGGAGGGGTGGGGTTGTTCCAAAAAAAGTGAGACCCCAACATTAAAAGAACAGCTTTTCAAATCTTTAAAAATTTACAATGCTGACCCTGTGCCAGCAATTTCTCTTTTTCTTTGGGGAAAAAACAAACAGCAGGTTTCTGAGCATCCCAGGCCACATTTAAAAGTGGCTGGGAGTCACCTTCTCCCCCAGGAAAGGGAAGAGAGAGGGAAAAGGGATGGAAGGAAGGAGATGGGAATGAGAAGGAAAGAGGTGGGAAAGAGGGAGGGAGGGAGGGAAGGAGGAAGGAAGGGAGGTAAGGAGATGGGAATGAGAAGGAGGGTGGCAGGAAGCTGGCCACATTCCCCTCTGCCCCCCCAATCTCCCCCCCCCATCAACCATAACCTTAATGTGGACCTCAATGAAATCAAGTTTGACTCTCCTGATCTAGAGGATACTAGTTGAACTTGTTATCTGTATCAGATTGAAGTGAGAAAGGAAAGTGAGGTTCCTTTGGCTAAATGATACTAGGATAATAGTACTGAGTTTTAAACAAAACACTATACGCTACATCAGAAAAAGAATATATGCCTAGCAAAGTACCCATGGCAACCAGTACTTGGGTTACCTAGGTGATTCACTGGTAGATGGCCAAAAGGAGAAATTGTATCAGAGCAGGGAAAATAGATTTGCACACAGGTGGTGGAGGGAAGGAAGGAAGGAAGGAAGGAAGGAAGACCCTGCAGCAACCTCCCAACAATTAAAGATATTCAGATTTTATATGCTGACAGGTTTCTTCACTCTTTTTATATTTTTCCAATGTTTATATGTCACCTTTCCAAAATATAGGTTTAAACTGTACATGAGCTCACCGGGGATACAGTGAGAATGAGAAGCTTTCAAAAGTGACACCCAAATCCATTTTTGTCTTTCTATAATATGGAAAAAAAATGTTGACTAGAAAAGTAAAACAGCCTTCAACTTTGCAGAACAAGTAACTCTGCATGGAACATTGAAGGTAACTAGGAACAAGACTTCTACTGTATATTTTAAAGTTGAAATTGGCTATTTTGGTTATTGTTCAAGGATGAATATGCTAAATTTTCTTTAATATACAGTACATAGAAACATTTCTAGCAACAAAAATTAAACAGTTCCATCTATATCCATCTGGGTCCTCTGTGTTTTAATCTTTGCTTTGCATTTAAAAAGAACCCCAAACAAACAACAATATGGATGGGGTACAGTCCCACAAAGTTGATAATATGCACTGGATTAAATTTCTTAGCAATTATAAATTAGATGTTTATCCATTTAAATTCAGCACGTTAGTCTACAGAAATAAAGTACAGCTAATTATGCCGAAATACAACTACATGCATTCATGTGTACTTATGAATTTATAAGTGTGCACTTAACACTTAAAATGAAAGTGGAAACACTGTAACTGATAGGTTTCAGAAATGAGACTGGCAATGGCCCTCTGTTAAATTATATTTAGAGGTCATTGTACAACATGAGAAAAGGATCTTAGATAACTGTATTAATTCACAAATACAAGTATGGAAATGTTTTCCCCGTACTGTTTTTCTAGTGTTATGAAAGATTGAATCTTCTTGCTATGTATGTTTCATAATATATGTTGGATTACCTCAACTATAAATGAGTAAGGAGATGTAAAGAATACCAATAAACTTAATCCCAAGGCTGAGTAGCAGGTAGCAGGTGTACTGTGTTTTCCATTTCTTCTATAAAATAACCTGGGTGGCTTGCCAATTATACAGTGATGGAATAGTGTTGTTTCTACTCCAGGAAAATGGGCTTTGTCCAGTGGTGGAGAAAAAAACCCGCCACTGGTTTGCCAAAAATGGAAGCATGCACGCATGTGCGTATGTAGGCTTCCTCATGATGAGGCTCGACTGAGCAGCCTTTCCAGGCCTGCTTCCCCTCCGTCTCTGCTCATCGGGGCAGCGGCTGTTTCTCTCCACTGCTGCTCTTGCTGGGAGAGCAGACTGCAATTTAGCAGCTGTGAGCCTCCACTTTGGGGCCTCTAAGTCCCCTCTGGAAAGCACTGCAGCATAGAGAAGCAGCAGCGTGTTGAATGCTGTTTGCCTCAGCCACAGCACTTTCCGGATGGGACTTAGAGGCAGCTGACAGCTGCTAAATTGCAGTCTGCTCTCCCAGCAAGAGCAGCAGTGGAGATAAGCAGCTGCCAACCCAGAGAGCACATGGAGCATCTCCACGAGTGAAGCCTCAGCAGCAAGGGATGGAAGAAGCAGCTGCAAGATCTCCACTGCAGCGCTTTCTGGATGCATCTTCTTAGAGGTCAGAAGAACTGTCCGGTCCATTCCTATACTGTTTCAGCCATTCCTATACTGTGCCCATGCCACACACACACACCCCATGGCCCTTTGGCTTAGCGTAGCAGGCCGCAGGCCGAATAAATTGCTTCAGCCCACAGGGCCGTAGTTTGAGACCAGAGGGGAGGCAGCATGCAGGCAGAGGCCCAGGGCAAAGTCAGAGCCAGGGAATGGTGCATTCCCCAACCTGGCTGAAGTGAATGGCAAGCGGGAGGAGGCTCTGGGGCAAGGCTAGAGCTGGGGAATGGTGTGTCCCTGGGCCTCAACCTGAGACAAAGGACGAGCAGGCAGCATGAGTACTTTTGGTGAGCAGAGCAGGCGAGGCACGGAGGCGAGGTGTGGAGATTAGCTGGGCCGCATGGCGAAGGCAAGATATATAGGGCGAGGTGGGTGGGGCAGGGCAGAGTGGATGGGGCTAGCTGGTGGTGCAATTGGTTCTATGACAGTGTGCTTTGCGCAGAGCAGCACTTAAAGGCCACCTTCGGTGTCAGCGCTGGTGGGTGAGGTGTTTTTTTAGCTCAGCTGAGGTATGCTGATCTGCCCTGCTGCGCAAATCAGCTGAGCTAAAAAACAAGGGAATTTAGGACAGGAAAGGGCGGGGGCAGGTGGGTGGGGCCAGCCAGAGGTGGTATTTGCTGGTTCACTGAACTACTCAAAATTTCTGCTACCACACCAGAACTAGTCTGAACCGGCTGAATACCACCTCTGGTTTTCTCCATTAAAGCTACTGCTTCTTTCCTATCGGAAAGGGTAGAAAGGATTAGATGGCGACTCCATTACAGATAAAGTTGAATTATGTCTACAAACAAAGAATTTTATGGTAACAAGAGCAAAAGCAAATTTGCTACCCACAGCATGGCTTTGAAAAGCTTCAAAAGGAATACATATTAAAGTACGTTATCAAGAGTGAAACATCTCTCCTTGAAATATTAAGCGGCTGTACCTTCTGCAAAGTTCACCCAGCTGCTTCGTAAGATTGATCTCTGGTTGCATTCTCATACATATTCATTATAGCCAACATTTCACTTGGAACACTAGTAAAGCAAATCTACTAGGCAAATGCACACTTGCACAGATGATTGGGGACATTCTTCAAAGCAGCTACTCAAATTTTCCAGAGGAGGTGGCTGCTTTCAAGTTGAATGTTTCACTCATACTTACGCACTTTATATAGCATCTCTTCTGAACAGTGGTGGAATTCAATCTTTTTTACTACCGGTTCTGTGGGCGTGGCTTATTTGGTGGGCATGACTTGGTGGTCATGTGACTGGATGGGTGTGATGCATGATAGGGTGCATGTAGGCAAAGTATTGCTTACCCAACATTACCAAACAATCATTCTTTGCATGTGTTTATTCTATTATAATAAAAGGTGCTGATTTATACTACCTCTGTCTGAACTTTTGATCTATTTTATATCAGATCCATGCATAATCATGAAACCTGAGTGGTTTTGGGTTATTCTTTCCCCATTTCTCCTAACTTACATCACAAAATAACTGTGAAGAGTATATGATATAGTACCAAATTTTGTGAAATGTATATAACAATCATAATAGTAATTCTAATATTTTTATTATAAGTAGCACTGTAGATCTCAAAGATCTAAACTTCCACTTGAAGAAAATTTTACAGCATTTCTTATATACAGTTATTCATCCTTCGCTTTAAACATTTCTTAACACTTTTCTAGTCAAAGAGGTCATTCTATCATGGAAGATTCTTTAATCAGCACATATCAGTATATAATATATTAATCGGTGAGGTATACTGCAGGATAAGGATGAATTTCTCTCTCAAAAGACTTTGCTAACCACAAAGCCGGACCCCTTGCGCGGAAGGCAGAGCTTTGTTTTGGTTGACACCCCGGCTGAAACTCGGGAAAAATTGTTGGCCACTGCGTGCCCTGAAGGGAAAACACAAAGCAAAACATCACAGCTTCCAGCTAAACTTCAGAGGGTCCCATGGCAACCAGAGGAAACTCCCCTCAGGTTCTCATATCTTCCAACGGCGGCAGCCGCTGACTGCCAGCGAAGCTCTTTGCCAAACTCCGTCATACGCCCAAAGCTTCTTCATCTCGTCCCTCCCCTCCCAAACCTATTGGGTCTCCAAAAGCTGCGCAAGTTGAGCTTTTGTGGCTCTTGGGAGCTTCTTAGCCGTAACCCTCGGCGACTGAGCTCCGCTAATTGCGCGCTTTGCTTCTCTCGCCAGGGGAAAAAGAAAAGAATGAGCTAGGAGAGAGCTCCGGCGTGGTGAATGTGGAGAATCGGGAAAGGTTCTCAGGGCTGCAGCATCAGGAGGGAGAAGGAGGCGAAGAAGAAATGGAAGGAGAGGAAGAGGATGCAGAGATTGGTGAGTAAGGAGATTGGGAGAGAGGCAAACAAGAGGACAAGGAGAGCAGAGCAAATTTGAGCAAGGGAGGGATGGAAGAGGTTCGTCCAATGTAGATCGGACCTAGAAGTTTTTCTCCTCCGCAAATGATAGCTGGATATTTTGGGAAAAGATTGCAAACAGTTTGGACAGGCAGCATATCTATTGAGGAAAGTTTTGCTTCTGAAAGCTTGCGGGCTCATTTCCCCGCTCCAAGACATGATTGACTGATGGTGTAAATTATGGAAAAAGGATTCCAGGAGGGATTTCAATGCTAGTCGTCCCCCCGTGTCCCCCCCCCCTCCAAACACACTTCTCACACCGAACTGGAATATGTGCAAAACAAACTATTTCAAGGGGCTTTGGAAAGCAGCTGGCATGGTTTTGGGATTTCCCTTGACCTTTGGATTTAAAGAACAGTGAATACTTCAGCAAACAGTGATGAGTCAAAGAATAATGGTCAACTGGAGATGATGGGACCCTGTAAAAAGGAATCTTTTTATCAAACAGTCAAGATTACTCGGCAGTGCTGTTCTTTTCTCCACATGAAAAAAAAAACCCATCCAACAGAAAACAGGAAAGTGTATGACTGACTGTGGTGCAGAACTCAGGAAGTCAGGCATTTGAAAGCTTGGTAATGCTGCATTGTGGCCAGCTTCCTAAGGTAACAGAACGAATCCAGGAGCATCTATTATTGTTATGATGATGATTGGTCACATAGTCAGCCAGGTGTTTAGACTGGATTTGGCATTTTATGTACCTATCCATCTGTTTGGCATTTTATCCACTTCCCTACAGACCAGGAATAGACAGAAGTTGTGTAATAATGTTAAAAAATCTTCGTAGGATGTAAGGTGTTCTAAAGCTACTTCTGCAATTAACTGATGGTGATTTTTTTTTCAAAATTTATGGTGTTCAAGTAAAGCTCCAGATATTTTGGAATTGCACCCAAGGTGTCTCTTACTGTTGGTATTGCAATGTCCACTATCCAGACTTTTTAAATATTTCTTATCAACAATTGTTAAGCTTGGAATGTTGTATGGCAGATGGTTGGTCTATTTGAATTCTAAAGTCTGAAAACATTTTAGATTTTTCATTTTCTATTACTTTGTCTGCATAGTGATCCCACCAGTTCCTGCTTTCTGGCAAATGGTATTTCTTGAAAATGTTCCAATGCACCATTGTTACTACTTTAGCATGCTGTTATTTGAAATGAGTCTGTGTGATCTTCTTATAGGAGCTAACTAGGTGGTCCACTATTTCTGTCTTCCACATTGCAGAGAAGACATTTGATGTTTGTTGATGTCTTCTCACTGCTTTAAATATATTTGTTCTTGTGGTTTGGTCTTTGGAAGACAGAATTAGCTTCTTTCTCTCTTTCTTCAACATTCTTCTTCTTATCCATCATCAGTTATTTTATTATCTGCTTTACCTGCAAGTTTTTAAAAGTATACTAGCTATCCTTTGCCTGGTTTTTCCAGTTGCAATGTATAGCTGTGAAAGTTGGACCATAAGGAAGGCTGAGTGCCAAAGAATTGAGGCCTTTGAACTATGGTGCTGGAGGAAAAGATTCCTGTGAGTCCCTTGGACTCAGGTGGGCTTCAAATTTTTTAGCAAGGGGCTCTTTCCCCGAATGACTGGGTGGGTGGGCGTGGCTGGGTGGTCATGTGGCTGGGTAGGTGTGGCCAACTCAATGTCCAAAACGAAACAAGCAAAACGAAACAAGAAGTTCACAAAACAAAAAGCAAACTTTCCAAAAAGGACTGTGGAAGGGTTTTCAGTCCTTAGCAATAAATCCAAACTCTGTCCGGCAAACTTGACGTGGCTATAAATCCCAAAGCCTCAAAGAGTTCTCTCCATGTGTTCACTCTCATAAATCACTTTGCTTCTGGCAAAGCTCGCCAGCCAAGCTGTTTCCTTTTATCCTGTATGAGGGCGTGTTAATCTCCTTAATTAGTCACTGGCTCAACGCCTCCTTCCTAATTGAGATTGATGCCTCATCTTACGTCTGTTTCTCACATCTAGCCAGGTTCTTTCCAAAGACTCCTCCCCACTAGAAAACTCTCGCAAGTGTTCCTGGTTAGCTATTCCCGGCTGTTGCTCAGCCAGAGGAGAAGAATCAGAGGAGGTCGAAGGTCCTGACAGCTCTATTAAATCAGGTTCGTCTCTCCTAGTTAAATCCATTTCCTCATCCTGACTACAATCCAAATCGCTCAATAGAGCCGGCTCATAATTTACTGCCATTTCCTCTTCGCTTGAGCTCACATCTGCCAACGGAACAGATTCCAACTTCGGAGTCACAACATACATATATATATATATATATATATTCTGAGGTTCTCGCGGGTATTTGTATGTGGATCTTTGGTTGTTCGGGTTTTCTCCCGCGTAAGATTCGAAGTATCTAGGCAACGTTTCGATGAAGTCTCATTCATCATCTTCAGGCTTCTGTCTCCGGCTCTGTGCTTCTCTGTGCTTCTCTCAACCAAAGATCCATATATATATATGTTCTTTGTTATTTCATGCATTTAATACTTAAAGACTGGGTGAACCAGGCTTAATAGCAATGACTGTGAGAGGGATCATGGAGTCTTAGTGGAGTTTCAGGTGAGTTACATGATTCTTATTATTTGGGAATTAATTCCCTCAGAGGCTAGTGGCTATGTTATCTGATTTTCTCAATGACTCTCCCTCACAAGCACTTAGTGGATTGTTTATCTAGCTTGTAACACTTTTACGAGGTGTGAAATGCTCTTGGCTGAACAACCAGAAGTTCAATTAAGCCTATTAAGAGCTTTCCATTGCTGCTTGTTTTTCTGGGGTTACTGGGGGCTCTCTGAGCCCTGCAGAGTTTTATCTAGGGGCTCCCCCAAGCCCCTGCGAGCCCCCAGCAGCCCACCCTTGCTTGGACTGCAAGGTGATCAAACCGGTCAGTCCTAGAGGAGATCAACCCTGACTGCTCTTTAGAAGGCCAGATTCTGAAGATGAAACTCAAGTACTTTGGCCATCTAATGAGAAGGAAAGACTCAACAGCCTAATACTGGGAAAAATGATTGCAAAAGAAGAAGGGGACAACAGAGAATGAGGTGGCCAGATGGAGTCACTGAAGCAGTAGGCGTGAGCGACCCCAGAGGATGGTAGAGGACAGGAAGGCCTGGAGGAATGCTATCCATGGGGCTGCGGTGGGTCAGACACGACTTCTCAACTAACAACATCCTTTGCCTTGCCATGTCTCTTTTCTTCATTTAGTTTTTTTTATTGGCCTTCTTGATTTCTTTGACACTCTGTAAGTGTACTTGCTTCAATGCACCTTCTTCACTGTCTTTCAAATATTCTTTCAGTGCTTCTTTTTTTCTTCAGTTATCTGGCATAATTGCAATATTCCATTGCCCACCTATGCTCTTTGTCAACATATATTTTTCTGGTCTTTCTATTCAGAACTTTTAGTTCAATTTGAATTCAGTCCAATATTCCAAATGTATATTTAATGATTGGAATTGACCAGTTGACAATCAACAGCAACTGTGCCTTCCATTATACAGTTGATCTTTGCACAAAGTTTCTCATGTTTCTACTGACTCCTGTTATATCTAGGCACTTGATTGTCCAATCATTTGGCAGGGATTTGAATGCCTTCTGGTAATCAATGCAAGCTACATCAACTTAAATGTAGCTTGCATTGATTACCAGAAGGCATCTTCTTTCATTTGCAATTTTCCAAAATTGTTTTGTCGATTAAGAGGTGATCTTCTGTCCCTCTACTCTTTGGGTGGCTTCCTTTCTGTTCAACTAAAAAGACCTTGATTTCAATTAGATGTTATTGCATTGCATCAGCTACCAAACCAGTTAGTAATTTGAAAGTTGTTGGTAATAAGATAATAGACCTGTAGTTGCTTGGGGCAGTCCCTTTTGCAGGATCTTTTAGTATTAGGTGCTTCAGATCAATTTCACCTCCTTGCAAAATCTGGTTAAATGAGTGGATATAGACCAATCAGATATTTCAGACAAAAATGATGCATTTCATCCACGTCTGGTTCTTCATCTTTCTTGCCATTTTCTGCCCCATTCTTTCTTTTATTACACGTTATTTCATGCAGAGTTGGGGGTTTTTTTTGTTTTTCACCTCCTTTATCTAAACTGCATTCTTGCATTTAATCAGAATGTCCTATAGCTATATCTAAACCTACACTATTTCTTCTTTGTCAGGAGAAATATGTCGATATTTTGCTTTTTTCTTTACAGGAATAGTTTTAACTTCTCACAATCCCCCTTTTCTATTTTATCCTTTATTCCTGTAAACCTCCATGTAATTCCTGCAACATAATTCTAACCTCTCGTTGACTTAATCATTTTCCTTTTATCCCTGGTGTCTTTGGCTTAGTTAATTGATTACAGTATTTACAGCAATTATTACATACAGGCGAACATTGGATACAAAAACATGATATAAATCCTATAACAATAATAGCAATTATGCATACAAATAGGTCCTTTAGCCAGGTAAAATTTGGTAGCCATGAGATCCCACAACCTCTTAAAGGTCGAATCATCAGTATGTGTTAAGTGTATAGTAATGTTAAGCAAAACATAAGATTTGATGGGTATTCTTCAATCCAGTATATGGTAAAAGTAGCTCTTCTTTCAGGATTCTACATTTTTATAAAATGGTGAATAACTTCCATAAAGTTCAGCACATTAATTATACAAAGACTCCATTCTACCTGATACATCCCTATGGTTTATACCTACATCATACGTATGATTACACCTTGGGTGTTTACCTAACGATATCCCATCACTCAAGGTGGATCTAATACAGATTTCATCTTCAGCTGTAGCTTCAGTCAGTGTCAATGATATCTGTACCTGGGAATACTTACTCTCAGGTCCAATATGGAAACATAGCTGCTGCCATGTTATAGGATAACTAGGTGAACTGGCATCCTTCAGTCTCAAGAGACCATGGTATCATGCTCTGAAAA